TATACATAAAAAATTAGGTAAGTTAGGTCATGGGACTCACCAAAACTAAGGTATACCTCTAAGCTTAAAAAGTGCTTATGAAGGTAGTTATAGATTATGCAGGATTTGATATCTTTTTTTTTGTACATCAAAAGTTTAGGTGAGTTGGATCTAAACACTTACAAGAAGTATTTATAAATTATTCACCAACAAGGTCTCCTCACATTGGTAGCAGAATTCGAACTCACAATCTTGTGAGTTATGAGTTGACTCTTTACCCATTAGATCAACTCTTGTCGGTAGGATTTGATATCTTAATATCACTAGATTTGATTTTTGTTTTTTTCACCCCGACCTTAGGGATAACCTAATGCTGCCACTCTCAGCATTCATTGGCCCAAAGAGAAAGCCCATCTTGGAAGTGGTCAAGCCCAGTCTTTAGTTTTTCGAGCCCTTCTCCATTTGGTTTGTGATATCCAACAACTTGTATTTTCACTTTGCTGCGCAGGAATCTGAGATTAGTCATCAAACTAATGAAGACTTGTAAAAAATGCGGTTTCTTAATAAATTTACAAGGAATACTACTATTGAATATGTATAACATATATAATATTTATATGAACATAAATTAGGAATGTTAGGTTTGCTGGAGCCAGTCAACATAAAAATACACTAAAATGGGGTCGAACATGTGTTTTAAAATTGTCCATTATTTGAATCTAAAACCATCTGAATTTTATGAACAAGGCTAGGATCAAAATTTAAAACAAATAACAGTGAAAAACCTGGTGCAGCACTCTGGAAAGCGGAAAGCAGGGCAAGCTCAGGCTTCTTCTTCTTATTATTATTATCAAGCCAAGTTGACTGATATAGAAATGCTTGGGTCATTTTCCCCGAGTCGGTAACGCATAAGAACAAACGTGAACTTTATTACGAAAATTTAAATCAAAGAGAAAAACAAAGACTGAAATTTCTTATTAGGTTGGCTAATTGTCTCTCTCAACCAATCAACAAAGACGAACACAATTATATTATCACAATGTCTCAGATAATGATGTGATAAACAAGGATTAAGTGTGGTTTATGGGTTAAGACTGAAGAAGAATCTTAGGATTAAATAAACATAACAATGGAGGGAAAAGCAGCGAGAAATTGTTCATGACGTGGGGAGGAGGTTACAACAAACGCAGCTCGCACGACAAGGTATAATTAATAAACAAATTGATAAACATAAAATTCTATAAACCCAGAAGTGGTCCGCCACAGTAGTGTGAGGCGAGAAGGGTTTTGTTTTTTAATTTTTTGTCTCTTTGTTTATGGAAGTGTCTGCAGGATCGCTCTGGAGGCTCCACATGGCGCTCCGTCGTGCCTTCACTGTTATCCTTTCGACTCTTTTTGACTCAGCTGCATCTGCAGAAGCGAAGGACATTGACTTGGTACCCTCATCCCTAATCCTAACCTATCGTTTTGTTCTCTTTCTACTTTTGTTCTTTTAATTGATGGTTTGGTGATTCTATGACATAGCATGTTCTTTTACCGTGGCTTTAGAGTAATTTTCCAGGCTGGACATGGACCAATTGGCACTGATTTGTGGCATTGCTAAGTAGGGTTCTTAGTTAAACATGGCTAGTTGTTCTATTTTAGTGTAGTGTATTCTCATTTGCTTCATTCAATCATGAAAATGGTGCCCTCTGTTTTTTCATTTCGTTAGAAAAAGGAGGAAGTTCTTAAATAGTGCAGCGGTATTATTGAAATCAGTGGTGTAAATCTATTGACTGATCCAGTGGAGCTTAGTTTCTGACAACTGAAAAAAAAAAAAAAATTTACATTACATTGGGGCATATTTCACGGCCGAAATCTGAGTCAGTATCCATGAATCAGGGATAATTGGAGTTAAGAAGAAATTATTCTCTTTTGGTGCATGTGTGAGAAGACATTATCCAGTTAAGTAACTCCAACAAACAAGACAGGTATGGCGGTCATTTTATTGGAAGTCAAAGGAGCAATTGAAAGGTAAGTTGTCAACATCACACACACATTTAAAATATAAGCATCTCAAACCCACTTGCTCTCAATATTCTCATCAACCCTTGAATAATATATAATCTCACAACCCGCAAAATAACTACATGAAGCTGAAGAATAGCCTTCCTCTATTATCTTAAGATCCCTCTCTGACTTATTTGAATCAAATCCCATAAGAATTCTCTCTCATGGAAATTCAATTCCAGCAGCCAAAGCAGCAACATCAGAAAGCAGGCATTCCAATCAGCAAAGTGGGGAAATTCAAAGGAAGAAACAGAAGCCGCGGCAACACAAACAAGTTTGTAGGGGTGAGGCAGAGGCCTTCAGGGAGATGGGTAGCTGAGATCAAAGACACAACCCAGAAGATAAGAATGTGGCTTGGCACATTTGAGACTGCAGAGGAGGCAGCCAGAGCTTATGATGAAGCTGCTTGCCTTCTTCGAGGAGCTAACACTCGCACCAACTTCATCACCCATGTCTCCTTGGATTCTCCTCTTGCTTCTCGGATCAGAAATCTGCTCAACAACAAAAAACCCGCAACTAAAAAACAACAACAACAAGAAGATCGTGTGGTAGCAGCCTCTGCCTCTAAAACCAGATGCACCAATACTAGCACTACTAGTACTCCTAGTATTAGGAGTAGTTCCAGCAATAGTGTTGACCACAGCGACACTTCTCTTTCCAGTGGGACAGTCCAAGATGCCTGTTTGTTTGATGATGTTTATAGACCAGATATGAGCAATTGCAAGGAGGAATTTGGGTTGGGTTCCACGTCCAATCTTTCATGGGGTGGTTTTGGACAGGTTTTTGATCGTTTTCCTTTTGCTCAGGTTTCAGATATTCCCAAGACTGATGGGGGTCTGTCCAATGTTGCTGACTTGGATCTTTTAGAATTTGAAAGGATGAAAGTTGAGAGGCAAATATCAGCTTCACTCTATGCAATTAATGGAGTGCAAGAGTACATGGAAACTGTTCAGGACTCCAATGAAGCTCTGTGGGATCTTCCACCCTTGTGTTCATTGTTCTGTTAGATTGGACGGTCTAAAGGACATTGAAATATTGATCTCTAATATCTAATTCAGTATTTCTTTACCATCATCTAAAATTGGGGGAGAAACTGTGATCTAGGATTTGGTTGGGATCACATCAGCAGATAACTTTAGTGAGGTTTGGAATCCTGTTTTTCTAACTTCCTTCTAAATGTCAGCAGGAGGTTATGTGAATTATTTCAGGGACCACTTTTTTAGTAATCAATCTGTCAAATATCCCTGCAGTTTTGATCCCCTTCATCGCTGACCCCGATCTCTAAAACGTGAATACTGTCTCTATCTCTACCTTTAGCAGTAGAATTCGGACATTTGGAGGCATTGTAATTTGATTTCCTCGGAATTTCCTTGTGTATTTATTGATACGAGAAAAAGGCCAATAAAAGTTAATCTTGCCGATCGTATTATATAAAGGTCCAATGTTTCTCTGTACAAAGCATGCATTTCTTATTCATGCTTTTGTTTCTATAAATCACTATACTGTTCTCTGCATGGTATAACATTATGTAATGTCAGATGATTACTAATGTTTCATTGCCCAACCCTACGGGGTCAACCAGTAGAAATATGACCAAATATTATAAAGAAACTTCAAGACATGCGAAGACCATCAACAAAACGAGCAACAAGAAACAATGATAGAATTGAGATCATGTCCCTAATCACTTCTAGAGAGATGTTCACCTCTTGCTCACCATTGAAGGACGTCAGTTTTACCTGCCCTTGTGGACCCAATAGGTCTTCTAATATTTTTCCTTTTTAAAAATAGACTGTACTTTCTCAATCCTTTTATGCCATTTGGCTCATGAAGATCACAATGAGGCATATTTAGAAAAGCCTGCAAGCACAGCCAGCTGGATAATTTCAATAGCTGAACTGTGGAGTAGAAAGAATTAAAAAACTTCAAAGTAGAAATTGAGTTATAACTCTAACTCTATATGCTTCTGTTGAAACATGATTTGGATGATCCATCAAGTGAAAATAAGCTTTTTTTAATTTTAAAACTGCAACCGTACAAGGTTTCATGTAGAATCAGAAATGGGAGAATGGGTACAGTGAAGAACAAACTAACGCAGATTGACGGAAATTCAAGTTCAAATTAAAGAAAACATCGGATGACGCATATTTAGCCAAATCCAAACTGTGGAGCCATCAATAGTGAAGTGAGCCTGGAGCTGGGACTGTAGATGGCTTAACTTATCTCTTTTTGATGTGGGTTATATTTATTCATTAGCACATGGAGAGAGTAGTAAAAGAAGTTGGATTAAAAGTGAGATGTCTAACAAAAAGTATAATACAAGCTGCCGGAATATAGAATTAAGGTCAGCATCACATGGAACCATTCTTCCCGAGGCAAATACAGGGACCATGTCCTACTTCCCGAAACTATCTCCTAATTCTCAGCCAAAATTGAGGGGGAAAAGTCGAGTTGAACAGGTCAATTTTCATAGATATGATATTGAATTACTCTTTGATTACAACTCCTTCAGTGCTTGGTTCTAGGTATGTTCTTGAATAAACTATTAACTAATAATTTAAAAATAAATAAAAGGATTGCTTTTACGTGGAAGCAACAAAGACAGGATTAAGTCTTACAAATAGCCTAAAAAAGCTATTTAATAAACTGGAAGGTAAGGGGAAAGGGAAAAAATTTAATAAACTCAATTTAAAAAAATTTAAAAAGTATGATATAAAATTTTAATCTCATTTTTTAAATCAAGTTCATTGAAAAATTTTCTCTTTTTACTTTCTTTCATTTCAGTCAAACGAAACGAATTTAACGACCACGACGAGGCAGGCATATCCATACGGGCTACTGCAATTTAATGAGTAAACTTTTTTTTTCTTATTGCATTTATAAGTATTTTTTATTATTGTTATTCAACTGTACTAGTTCTTTTATGATGTTTCTTCTTTGTGGTGTTTTTAAACTTGGAAGGAGAGAGAATCTTTCTTTGCTTTCGTATGGGATAGCTTAAATAAACTTTATAACTACCACTCCTAATTTTTTATACATTTTTTAGTTCAACAAACATCTAATCCTAATTAATTAGTGACAAAAGGAAGAAAACATTGGAAACTAATTGTTTAATAAGCCAAACGTTGTGTGTTGTATAAAAGCCAAAATAGTTAATGCTCCCCCCATTCTTTTTTAAATTTTTATAAGCTCTTCTTAATCAAATTGCACAAATTAAGACAGGCCAAAAAAATTACACAAAGTAAGCAAATTGGTTGAAAATCTTGATTTTCTCAAAAGTTAGCCTGACATTCCAAAACTACCCTTGTATTTCAAATATAATGTTAATTCTCTCTGCAATAAATATTATAGCAAGCCGGCAACCCACTTATAAAGGACATTTTTTAATATCAATAAATAATTTACTATTTTTTCATAAAAAGTCTTATATTTAAAAACAAGAAAAACATCCTATATTGTACTACCTCCAATCCTTAATATAAGAGCTAGTTTAACATTTAATTTGATCTTAAATATAAGAACTCAATTCACTTTGTCTTTTATATTTATATATTTTTTCAAAATAGTCATTGTAATAGTTACATATGTTAAATGTTTCATCATATAGTACTTCTAACTGATATATATAGTTAGTAAAAGTATTTTAAGAAAGATACCACATATTTATTACAAATAACTAATTTGACAAATTTTATTAACATATTTAACTGGTTTTTATATTAAATACCAGAGATAATATATTGGTAATGATGAAAAACCGGACGTAGGATTTGCAAAAGAAGCAAGGGATTGATTCGAAAACTGAGATGAATCCTGGAGATAAGTAATCTCGGATCGACCTCTAATTGGGAATCATCATCAATAACAAAGCCACAACACCAGAAAGATTGGCAAGAACAGGCAGTGCAGTGTTAGAGATACAATACAGAGGGATAAGAAGAGATGTAGGCAGGTAATGCTGAAGGAGATTTGATTTCAGTAATCTTCTTCTTCATCCTCCAAGCCTTCTGCCCCAACTTCTTCGTAGTCCTTTTCAAGAGCAGCAAGATCCTCACGGGCTTCTGAGAATTCACCTTCTTCCATTCCCTCACCCACGTACCAGTGGACAAATGCTCGCTTAGCATACATCAGATCAAATTTGTGGTCGATACGAGCAAAAACCTCAGCCACTGCTGTGTTATTGCTTATCATACAGACCGCACGCTGCACTTTGGCAAGATCACCCTCAGGCACCACTGTTGGAGGCTGGTAATTAATACCACACTTGAACCCCGTAGGACACCTGCAATTAGTCACGAAAATCAAGCCTTCAGATTCAGGTTATGTTAAAGAGAATTTCATATGCAGAGGTTATTATTATGTTCTCCTCTTCACTCCCCCAATTTAAGCGGCTGGTGTATGGCAGGAACAAGAAAATCCATAGTATATAAGTGATCAGAAAGATAGAATGGCAGCAACAGAAGCAATTCCATTAGGCAGGGAATTTCAATTACCAGTCAACAAACTGAACGGTCCGCTTTGTCTTGATAGTGGCAACAGCACTGTTCACATCTTTGGGCACGACATCTCCGCGGTACATGAGGCAGCATGCCATGTATTTTCCGTGCCTTGGATCACACTTAGCCATCATGCTTGATGGCTCAAAGACGGCGCTGGTGATCTCAGGAACTGATAGCTGCTCATGGTAGGCTTTTGCAGCCGAGATTACAGGGGCATAAGATGAGAGCATAAAATGGATACGAGGGTATGGCACAAGGTTAGTTTGGAACTCAGTGATATCTACATTAATTGCCCCATCAAATCTCAAGGAAGTGGTTAAGGAAGAGATGATTTGAGATATCAAGCGATTCAAGTTCGTGTAAGTTGGCCTTTCTAAGTCTAATGATCTTCTGCAGATGTCATATATAGCTTCATTGTCCAAAAGCACAACCACATCAGTGTGCTCAAGAAGAGAATGAGTAGAAAGGACACTGTTGTAAGGTTCAACAACTGCAGTTGAAATCTGCATTTACATTACTAGAACAGTATAAGGCACTGCAGAGAGTCAATATCCTCAGGTTTTCTAGTAAGCCATCAAAGGAAGTAGGGCAATAATGGGAACATGCGTCAACAATTTTATGCTTCTAGATGCCAATATCATTTGCTTACCTTTCCGGCAGCAGCACAACTGTTAGAGTGTATATATATTACATTTTTTGTTCTAATAACAGGATATCCTCTATATACCCCTAGTACTTAATATAAAACTAGTTAATTAATTTAAATAAATTAAAAAATTAGTTAAGTTAATTATTTGTAATAAATAGATGTTATTTTTCTTAAAATATCTTTGCTAACCAAGTATATTGGCTAGAACTATCATTATTACACGAACTATCTTAGAAAAAATGGATAAATATAAAAAACAAAGTGAATTGGGATTTTATATTTAGAACCAAAATAAAAGTTAAATATACTTTATATTAAGCACCAAAGGTAGTATATATGAAGTTTTCCCCATTACAATTTCCCTAGGCAAGGAAGAAATTTGATTATTTAAAGGTTATTGTTAGGACTAAAAAAGGTCAAAAAGTCAGCACAGGGCGCAATGTGAAGTTGTTAAGCAGCTTTTGAAGCTCAACTGAAAAAATCATTTTTCTTCTATTCATATCTGCTAAGGATTTCAAGCAAGCACCTGAGGAGAAGGATAAATGGTAAAGCCAAGTTTTGACTTCTTCCCATAGTCTACAGATAATCGTTCCAAGATCAATGATCCCAGACCAGAACCAGTGCCACCACCAACAGCATTGAAAACTAGGAACCCCTGCAAACCAGTGCAATTGTCTGCTAATTTTCTCACACGATCAAGGCATAGGTCAATAACTTCTTTTCCAGCTGCAGCACAGATAAGCCAATTAGTAGCTCTGTTGAGTAAAACGGAGTAATGGCAAATTTAGACGTGGGCTGGAAATGGAGCTACCAGTGTAATGTCCCCTTGCAAAGTTATTGGCAGCATCTTCCTTTCCGGAAATCAGTTGCTCAGGATGAAAGAGTTGCCTGTAAGGACCAGACCTTACTTCATCAATAACAGTAGGTTCCAGATCAACAAATACGGCCCTTGGCACATGCTTGCCCGAACCAGTCTCGCTGAAGAAGGTGTTAAAAGCATCATCTGCAACGCCAACTGAGGCATCACTGCAAGTAGGTAAACGAACATTATTTGGGCCAAAGAGAGGGGAAAACAATATCACAGAACGTTAAAAATAATGAGTTCGCTACAATGGCAAATTGCTAAATCCATAACCATTAAAATAGCTATAATTCCAGTCCTCTTTTATGTATGTCTTTCAATGCAAGAAGCATCTCGGCTAATAACAACTGTAACATGAAACAGCGGCATATCTGCAAACACATGTTTGGGGAAGCGAAATAACAGAGTTCAACTATAATTTAAAAAAAAAAAAAAAATCTAGCGTCAACTGCTTGATAAGTATTAGTATGTTACTCAACAGAAATTATCATAGAAAGATAAAACGAATACAGGAGGATCTGAAACTTGACAATTAAGAAAAAAAAAAAGAGGGAGATAGGCAATTTTAAGAGGTAAAAATTAAAATGTAAATTAGAGAACTAAAGGAAGATCAAGTTCAAAGACTCGATTCGGTGAGATTCTCAACATTTTGGAACCAAAAAAAATAAAAATGAAATATAATGTAAACTTAAACACCGGAGCTAAAAAGGATGACATCCAAAATTAACCAGAAGAATGTATTTCTACGGATGTAAAAAGACATGTATCGTAAAAAACAGTAGGAGAATTTCAATCGCTGGAGAAACATTTAGGGTCAAAACCACACAAACAAAATGAAAGCAAAAAGAAATATACCTGGGCATCAAGCCATCGGGGTGAATTTGATGCTCAAGGCAATAAAGCTCCCAGCATGAATTTCCCACCTGAATTCCAGCTTGACCAATATGAATACTGATTATTTCTCTCATCTCCCCCCCTCTTTGAATCTCTCTCTTTTATCGTTCTGTTGCAATACATATATAACTGGAAAAATAAAACAGGGGGGAGAGAGAGGGATTCTTTTTTTCCTTCTTTAACGTTCACGGCGAGTCAAGGCCTGAAAGCCAATGGTAATGGTTATAATTGATAAATAAATAGCAAAGGGAAAAGGGAAAATAGAAAAGCCCAATCCTTAACTGTCAATTCAATCCCTTACTTAATAATTAATGAACGGCGCAAAATTACAAATTAAAGCGGGTCCCATGACTTGGCGCCATCCTTTTTGTGTTGTATATTTTGATCAGTTTTGGAGGTTGCGCATCGTGGCCATCTTTCTCGTCTTTGTTCTCTGTTCTTTAAAAAAAAAAAAAAAAATCTCATTACTGTATAAAACAAAATGAATAAACTATTTCTACGAACCTTTTAATATAAGAATTATTGAATTAATTTCAATAAATTTAAAATGAAATAAATTAATTAACTACAATAATATGACAATTTTTCTAAAATATTCTTATAACATTTAATTATATGGGTTTATAAATTAGGTAAATTGATGTAGATATAAATGATAAATATAAAGAAAAGAATGAATTAAAAACCTTATATTCCGTTCCTTAATATAAGACTTTGTTTGATTTTTATTTTTATTGTAAATATAAGAACCTAATCTACTTTGTTTCTTATATTTATCTATTTTTTTTTCTAAGATATCATTCTAATAATGATAATCCTAACCAACAAACTTAATTAACAAAATATTTTAAGAAAGATAACATCTATTTATTATAAATGATTAATTTAACTTATTTTTTTATCTATTCAATTAGTTAACTAACCTTTATATTTATATTTATAACAGGAGGTAGCCGCCGAACGAGCAACGCCACCTTCAAGCACCGTCAACAACCCAAAATTTGAAACAAAAGAGGATGATGAAACAACTGGTAACAGCCACTCGATAGTTGGGAAAGAGGAGCGAAACCCAAAAAAATGGTAAAATGTTGGAGATTTCAGAGTTTGATTTCACTTCATAACGCGAACAATAAAAATGATGCGAGAGAGAGCGATGGTGCTTCAGCCACTGTCAGGCCAGCGTGCTCTATGATTCGTCATCATCCCTATCTTCGCTCCTCAAATATCAAGGGGTCCGCTAAATATCTCACCTCAAATTCAATACCCAGCACAGCATGCTGCTGCTGCTTCTTCAAGTGCCTTTCCTGGGTTGTCCCCTCCACGTATCATGTGCCAAATGAGATTGAGGCATCATTCATTTATTGGATTGGGATTAGACAGAGATTACAGAAAAAAGTCAGTTTCAACCAACTCACAATTGAGTTGCTTATCACAAATTTCAAGGCAAATTTTATTCTGATATTAATCCTTTATTTTTACTTGTGACCGATAGAAATAATATAATCTTTTTGGAAATCAATAGCATCGGAGCCAAGAATTATAATCCCTTTTAAGACCTAGTGATCTCAAAAGGAACGTAGATAGTTAGGACAAAGGATCACAACGATTTTTGAATTGATTTGACCTGGTAGAGAAACGATATCACATTTATCTATTTAGCTGCGCTGTTGCATAACCAAAATGCTGCTCTTGATGTCTGAGCTTATAATATTCATATGACATCTAAACAAACGAAGTAGTAAATGAAGAAACCACATAAACCACGCGCTACAAATTAATGTAGCAGCCATCTGAAAGGTATAACCATCCCAAGGCCTTAAACATACTATGAAGCAAAGTCTCCGCAAATTTATTTACATAGAAGAAAGATTCAGACATGAACTATACGATTGGGGATGATATACAGAGTCTAGAACCTCTAATGCACTCTCTCTGCTGCCTCACTGATGCTGGCAAATCTAGGTCATTCTTTCTTTCAATAGTTTTCGTAAGATTTTTCTGTAAAACAGAAAAAACAGAGAGGAGAAAAGCAGGGATTTCAAACTCTGCAGTACAATGGATGACAACTCTTGCTTTCCTTCGGTTATGTTCAAGAGAGGCAGCGGCACTGAAGCACCCAAAACTATCATTAACTGCATCCATTGATGACCAAGTGACAGTAACCACATCATAAAAAATGAGCCAAAAGCAGTGCCTTGACAAAGAAAGTCGCGAGGCTTGCCCTTATATCCCTACTATCCTCTCAGCCAAGTGTTTCTGTAAGATGAATTGTCTCGCAAAGAGGCATAATGCGGCTTGTACTCCATAACATAGCTATGAGGAAGTTTTAAGTGACGTTTAATCGAATCCCTCAGAGCCATTACAGCCTGGCATGGACATCAACATTTTAGAGACAAGCATGCATTCCAGGAGATATTACCGTTAAAAATGCATGACTCAAGAGTGATAATGCCAACCTGATGGTCAGATGCATTGCGATTCCAAACACTCAATATATCCTCATTGAAACGAATGCTTAGAACTGCACCGCATATGTTGTCTCCACAATCCACTTGGTCACCCACCAAAGCAAGAACCTGCACTTACAGCCGCATATTGAACCAAACATGACATTGTGTCAAAGATTTGGAACCCAACGGTAAAATTATATGCTAATTAAACACAAGAATCATGGAGTCATGTATCGCCAGGCAAAATAGACTCCAAAGGGGATTGAGTTGGTCTTTATACCATTATGAAGAGAACTAAAATGAATGTATTTGACAGGGACGGCTGTTGAATTAACAATATCTAGGACAATTCATTCAATCAAGACAATATAGCATCTTATTTCTTCAAAATGACATTTTCCTAAATTGCACATTTAACATCATTTTGCATAGATAGATCCAGTAATAGGTATATCCCCTCGGCGCAAAGACGTTACTCAGGGTAATGATTTTGATATCCAAACAGAGTGCCCACTATTTAGAGCAAAGTGCTAAAACATGAGAGGGGACCCAGGCATGTGATTGAGAATGATAAAATCTGAATTCCTTCAAATTTTAGATCAATTAAAAGGTCATAACTATTAGCATCAGTATTTTGTTAACTTTGGCTTCCATCGAGATTTAAGTTGAATTCCTTCTTTAACCCTGTAAGACAGAGTCATTGTTTACTGGAAAACAGAAGATAAATTATCAGCAGACTTCTACTTACCAAGTCCTCTCAAAAACGACCAGACACAACCTTTTTGAATCGTATAATCCACTTTCCACCATTGCAGTTCGCAGAATCCTGAAAAGAGACAGAGCCGTCATTGCAAATTTACACTGAAGGACCAGGGTTAGGCATTTTAAGTTCTACCTCCCACAGAGGGCGGATTCCTTCCTTAAAAAGGTGCAAATCTGTTGGAACTGGCAAAGAAGAAGGGCGAGCAGGATGGCAATAGCAGACCCAGAATCCTTCGACCTACATATAAATAACAGTTATATATAACAGATCAAAAGAATGTCATAAGAAAGAAAGCTAACAACGAAGCAAGAATTCAGCAGCAATTTAATGATCCCACGATATTGCAAATCTTACCGTACTGAAATCAGCAAGTTTCTTTATGTTGTCCTCATATGATCCCTGACTTCGAACTCCAGGAGTTCGGCGAGTGTACCAAAATACAAATTTGTGCTGATTAGAGGAAAAGCCATCAAAAAATAAATGAAAATGTCACGTACAGAAATAAACTGGAGCATCAACATGCACTTATAATGTAGAGAAACTATCGAACAAAGTTATTAATATTTCGTCAGTCCTTTTAGAAGTAAAACCAATCTTAACATTAGCCTGAAAGGTTTTGAAGCCAGTGAGATAAAATTAAAACCCGGAATAAAAATGAAAGAGAAATCCCACAAAAAGAGATACCCCGGTTGGCTTATGCATTTGGGAGAAAAGACAGGTACGAAATGAAAGCAACAAAATATGAGTGTCGAATCGACTATAAAAAAATTGGATGATATGAGGAGCGAAAAGCCTATCAACATATACTGGGAAAGAATAAAAGAGAGGGATTTGTAGTCAACAGACATTTATAGCAAAAGATATATGACAAATAAAAGGGAAAGCAGCAACGGATTCAGACTTCAAGAGAAATTTATAAACAGCTGCCTAAAAGTAAAAGGAAGAATGAATTGGGGTCCAGAGTTAAAAACTGATGGACATTTCATCTTACAAGAGCAGAGCCCCTCGGAGACACGTCTTAAACCCAAAAAAAAAAAAAAAGCGAAAATGACGAAACATAATTAATGAAGTTCGACCAATTCAATCGGCGTTTCCAAGGAGGAAAAACCGCAGATATTTAAACAGAAAGTAGGAGTGGCGGAGTGTTAAAAAACCTTCAGTGGATGAAGGCCAACTTTAAGGTCACGAGCTTGTCGTTCGTCAGCTCCTTTATCAGGGTTATTGTTTCCATCAGATGCGAATGAAGACGTCGAATCTGGGATTTCTTGAGGATTATTGGTGTTACCATTATTATTTTTATCATTAGAAACATTGATGGAAACAAGTTCTTTCCTCTCCACCGCCAAATCCATAATTAATTCCCAAAACCCTAATACCCTTTCCTCCTTCGTATATGAATGATCACCTTCTACCTTGCTTCTCGCTTGCAAAACAAATCGATGATTGCTTGAGTGCTTTTGCAGTTATGCAGAAGAAAATATCTTTTGCCCCCTCTGAAAAACCTTTTGTTCCTTTCATTCTTGTTCGTCTCCCACTCCCACCGCGACTTTCATGAATAATTGCGAATTCGTGAAAATTTTCATTATCGCCTGTTTTTCCAAACTTACTAGTTCAGAATCGGATCCATGACTCGTATACTAGAAATAGCGTCCCAATGCTGGCCCAAAAAACAGCTCCAGAAGAGAAGGCCCATCCAAAAAAGTAAGTAAAAATAGACTTTGCCGAATGCCGACCCACGTCTATTTTTACCTTAATGTTTTCCTAAAAGGCTAAAATATGGTAAACAAAAACTAACCTAAACTGGTTCAAATAGAAGGGACTTGAGCACCTTACCTGTGGGGCATATTTTAGCCTCACGGTTTTGCGTTTTTAACAATCAATCACATTTAATTAGACTTGCTTTTGAGGTGGAAAAATCTCATTGAAAATTTACTAATGATGCGCTTCTCGTTCTCTATGCTATCTAATTCTAATGATTTACATATTAAAAGGTTGATTGACTGAAATAAAAAATGCAAACTTTCAATTTTTATTTTTAGAACATATTTTCGAAGAGTTATAATTATGATTTAATTTGTATGTTTCTATATAATGTACATATTTGTTTATTATTTTGACTTAAAAATTTTAATGTTAAAATATATCACCTAAAACACACACAAAAAAATCATGGTCACTCATACTCACTTTTAATTAAAATCACTTTCGAAAAGCAGATTCATTCAAAATTATTATGTTTCTCTGACTTTAATTCAAATGGGTACTCCCTTCCCTTATCTTAATGGTATATTTTTAATTATTTTCATCTGCCGATTTAGAATAATAATAATAATATATAATGGCCATGCCCCTTCGGTAATGTCTACGCACGAGGGTGGTTCAGAGGAGAGAGAAACGGTTTGTTCGGTCAAAAAAGAGAAACGATTTGATTATATATACATAAAAGCTAATTTGGAGCCGAGAACGGAGAATCTTGGATCATTTTGCCGCAATCAGCGAGCCGAACATTGCACAACCACTACAGAACAGAAAAAGCTACCCACCCAGTACCACCTCCAACCCCAGCTGTCGAAGACGATCAGGTGTCCAAGAGGGAGAAGATAGAAGATCAACGCTCTGTTTCTCGGAACGGTTTTGTCTATTTTTATTTTTATTTTTATTCTCCTATTTTGCCCCCCGTGTTTTCTTCTATGTACTACCCCTCCCATTCTTCCATGGCATCTTCGAGATCTATGGCCCCCTCCCTTCTTCTCCTTTTTATTTCTGCCTTCTCTTTGTTTCAATCGGCATCATCCTCATCTGGATTTTCGGCTTTGTGCGATCCCTCCTCTGCTCTATTTCTCCACTCTCTTCAATTTCAATGCCCTCTATCGATCTCCCCGAATCCACCTCATCAGGTAGATGTTCATCATCTCTATCTCTCTTTCTTGATTTCAATTTGCGGTTGGTTGTATGTTCTGTTTTTCCCCCTTCTTCGTTTGATTGATTCATTTTTGTGTCGGAAATTAATGAGCCTGTTATTTTGGCCTTTTCGTCCCTGACGTCGAAATTGTTTTCTTCTTGGTTGCTCAGTCAAAATGGCTATTTAGATATTTTGGTTTCGGATCTTTTATTCTAGGCTATTGTTCCTATGTTATTCATTCATGGATTTTCGTTTTATGGAACTAGTTTCTGAGTTGATGATTTGTTAAAAAAATGCAAATCAGAAAATTGGTGTCGATAGTCTACTGGTCGGTTTGATATAATATAATTGCAAATAAACACGGGAATGCACGGCAGCCTTTGAAGTTTTACTATTTTAGAAGATGGGCGACAATGTAATATTCTAAGTTGATAATGGATTTCATTGTAGATTGTCTTGAGTCTAGATATTTTTTATTTAACAATACAGAGAAAGAAAACCATGAATGCTTTTAGGGACAAGCAAGTCTTGTGCTATCTCTTGCGCCAAGACCGAAGTAGCACTTGCTCTGATTTTAGCTAATTTAATATGACTATGAGGCTTAATTTTCTAGGATCATCTAGCACTAATTAGAGGTCAGATTGTTCATATATAGCTCAGAAATGTAATCAGCGCGAGTTTACAGCCTCAAAATTTAATCAAAGCCTTTGTGGATACTCTTTTTTATAATCTTATGCATTGAGACGTTCATATACTTGCACTAGTCTTATTAATGCAAAAATAAAAATCTTAATGTGATGTCATGCCTTTATAGCCCTTAATTATCATGAAAGGAGTTGTCTTTTTCCCTTCCGACAAGATAGTTCACATGTGAATGTGATGACATGTTATGAATTTTAGCATGAATGTGAAGATTCCATTCAATTCTTAATATCTATCCAACAATATTATTGAGATGCCTTACTATGAAATGTATCATTTATGTATCCTATTATTAGGAGGAAACAGTCTTAAATTTAGGTAAATTGCATGTTGAAGTTCTTTCCTCGGGAAAGTTGACACTATCAGAAAAGTTTAAATGATTTTGTGACCCTAAGTAATTCTGCTTGTTGCTATGCACAAGCTCACTTCAGCTAAGATCCTTAGTTAGTGCAGGCTTAAGTTTTTGTTTTATACGGTTTCCCTTTTAAATGGACAATAGCTTGTTTTATTTCTCAGGTTCCCCCTGTCTCTTTTCTCGGATGTGAGATCCTCACTGTGTCAAGCTGGATTGCAGGGTGATCTGCAATGGCCAGCTGAGTTTGATTGCTGTTATTGTTAAATTATTAATTTTTAAATTGATCATGTATTCAGCTTTGTCATTTTCTGGTTTTCCCCTCTTTAACTTTCCATCATTCCTTTGAGCTAATATTTTGTAGAAAATTTTTTTATCTCATAATCTAACAATATCAAATCAATCACTATACTATTATTAATATCCCATTTTTAGAATCTTACGTAAACTCCTTCCCCATGCCTTCCATAAAGAGGAAAAGGCCTCAACAATTTTGAAGGTTCCTTACATGATGTTCCTTTCATATAGGAAAGTGATATTGCCTGACCTTAGGCATCTCTAGACGTGATGTTTGTGGTATGATTTTGACCTTCTCTACTATCTGAGTATCATACTTGAGTTGCTGAGCCTGGGACTGGAAAATGAGTCTGCATTGCTTGGGCCTCTGGGCAAGGCTGTTGTATATTGTTATTGATTTGTCTTTTTTTTTATTATTATTTTCTTTAAGCACTTTGCTTTTCATGAGGATTTTACTATGGTTATTTATAACTGAAGTTTTTTTTTTTTAACCGATAAACTAGTTTAGGTTGATCCCAAAAGCATTTTTCAATCTTTGGCAAATATATGGAAACATGGCCCTTTATTATATTTTTAGTGGATGCGTGTAAAATATGGGGAAAAGGCACAATTTTTCGTAGGAGCCACTTGATAGAACCTAATTCTTCAGAGAAGTGGACGTTTAAGGTGCAATGGTGATTTTTTCAATAGTCTTTCTTTCTCATCATTGGACTGATCAACTTGAAGATTTAATAATTTTTTGGTCTTTCTGTTGTACATTTATTTTGTTTATTTGTACTTATCCCAAAATGCTGATTTCTGTGTCGTGTATCTAATCCCTGTTTTGGTTTGCTCAGGTGGATGGGAATTTCGTAGAAGGAGTTTTGTCTGGGAAAAAGAAGATTGGTTATGCCTCTATTCTCTTCTATTCTTCCCAGTGCCCGTTTTCACACAGTTTGCTTCCAAAGTTTGAAACCCTCAGTTCTATGTTTCCTCAAGTTGAGCATTTGGCACTTGAGCAATCATCAGCCTTGCCAAGGTTCTAAAGCTATGGCCTATTAAAGTTTTGGATAATTATGTAATTGTTGCATTTTCTCTTTCACATGGTTGGTTTGTAAATATTCATTCTTTTTTCCGCAAGAATTAGCTTGGCTCTTTGTTGGCTGGGCTAAAGTCATGAAGTGCTGTAGGATAGTTTCTCTTCTATTTTATGTATTTGTGCTGATGATTTGTGATTGAGCAGAATTTTTTTTACCGAATGGGCAATTCTTTAATTGTGTGTTGATGTATCTTCATTTGTGTTTAACGCTGCAGCTTATTTTCAAGGTACGGAATCCATAGTTTTCCAGCTATATTACTGGTGAACCAGACATCAAGGTTGAGATATCGGGGGCCAAAAGATCTTCTCTCACTCATTCAATTTTATGAAAGGAACACGGGTGAGCTCATCCTGACTCTTATCTGTAAATTGGCGGTAAATTTTATAGACTGCTATTTTGTACCTGCTTTTGACCTCATAGCTTTTGGATGATACTCGTAAGACCCACTATTCCTTTTGTAATATAATTTACACTACAAAGTGAGTCTTATATTTGGAATTGGAAAAGTATATGCAAATAATATGGATGACAGACCAATTTACTTTGAGTCTAAGAGACTTAACTAACTGACCGTAGTGAGTGAGCCTATACCCTCTTGACTCATCTGCCTTTTGTGTCCCAGGAATTGGGTCAATCCAATATTTTGCTGATGATCAATGGCAAAGCTCACGGAGTGGGAGAAAATCAACTATGAAGTCATTGACGAGCTTGTCATTGGAAGAAATCACGAGCCGGGAGCCTTACTTAGTACTCTCCATATTGTTTCTGTGTCTGAGGATTCTTTTTTCTGTGTTTTCAAAGATTGTATCGAGTGTCCGGGCATTCTGGGTTTCATATGTTCCTCATTTAAACTTGCAAATATTTGGGGAGACAAGCCAAGCGATGGGACGTGTTCTTCATGTGATTGATGTCAGAAGGATTTGGACCAAGCTTAGAATGTGCAAGGCTAGGAACTTTCATGTTTGGGCTTCATCTCTGGCTTCCGTTTCTCTTGGCGAGTCGTCATCATCAGCGAGGCGGTCATCTCAAGGTTTAAATTAACAAAACTTATGCCAGCCCTGTTGAGGGCGGCATGAAAGTTTTTATCTGAACATCCTCAAGCTGCAGTGAAGCTTGGGATCACATGGCCCTCTCTCAAATTTTATTGTTAGTGCTGATAGCTGAATGTTGTTCTTGTTTGAGCTGGGTTTTGGGAGGAAGCGAACAGGCATGTAAATTTTGAGTACAGCTTTTTTAACCCCTGTAAATTATTTGTTGTCGGAAGCAAATTATACACGCACCACTGCATTTTAAGCACCTCTCTGTCTCACCCGCAAATAAAGCCCCTTGTTTCAGGAGATGATTCAACTACCGTCTACAAAGTTCATATGGCTGGGTAAAATGAGGGTGGAGGGTCGAGATTGCGATAGAGTTCTGTTCAATTGATATGCTGATTATGGGAGGAGACGGGATATACAAACTACCTGCGATCCCAGCGGCCGCGCAAAATACAAATCTTGATTTTCAACTTCCTTTCATTCTTAAACACGAGTCTTAGTACAAATTGTCATGTATAATTAATTCTTGTTTGGTTTCTAAAAATATTCCTGATAGAATATATAAATTTCTTATTCAAATTTTTACAAGTAGATGCGCCCTTTTTCATGATACTAAGTGGAAGGTAAAAATAAAAAGCAAAAAAAAAAAAAAAAAGGAGAGCATAATATATAAATTTTGTTTAAATATTAGAACTTATATTTGAAAAATAGAGTAAACATTGTTACCGAAAAAATAGAGTAAACGTGTGCACGAAAGCTGATGGTGAATAGACGGAAGGCATATGCATGAATGCAAGAGAAGGTATCTGAACGCAGCAGCGGTTAGGAAAGTGAAGTTACTGAAGAAAGGAGATGAGGCCGTAACTATTGCCATACATTAGAGAGATGTGAAGGGGAAGGCTCCGATAAAAGACAAATAAACTATGGACAGCTGTACCTATGAGAGGCCTCCTCACTTTCCTTCTATTGTGTTTCTTCTGGAACCCACCCTCATCATCACTCTAAGACCATAAATCTCGACAAGCAACCGCTTGAACCGACACTCCTCTTTTTCTTTTTCTTTTTTAATATTATTTTCGTCATATCGATCCCATTAAATTATCAAAAAGAACCTCTTCTTTAGTGGTGACTGGTGAAAACCCCTCTTTCTTCCCGTTTTTATATACTTAACTTTTTCTTTAGGGGAAAAAAGTAGACTCTTGTAGCTTTGCCCTTATTCCATATATAACCAATTCGAAGTACACCCCCCTAAGTTAGCTGGACATTATTATTTTTCTTCCTCTATTGGAAAATCCATCGATCGTAACCGTAGATCTACATGGAATAAATATCTAGGCTGGTTCTTCTGTGAGTACTGTCTATTTATATTTGAGTATAATTGAAGATAGCAAATTCTTCTATCTTTTAAACATTAAAAACACGCACAGAAATAGAAAGATACATTTATTTACGTTTCAATTGTGATAATCGTTGATGCAATAAAAAAAATATTTATGTATAATTCTTTTTGTTACAGTTATTCGATACTACCCTAAAATTTACATCTTTTTAGCACTATTATTTATTGTAAGATTATCAAGCCAATATTTAACTTCTAATAATTTTTTATTCCATGTTCGTTTGGAAGGGAACGAAGGGAGCAAAGATTTTAATGATCCCGATTTTTCAAAAAAAAATTGGAGAAGCAAAATTTAATTTAAAATCTTTAATAAATTTTACTTATTTTTCTCTTATTAGTATTTGCGTGCGCTAAGAATCCAAGCGTAGAGGCTAACGGCCATGGTGGGCCACGTGGACTATTCTCAAATTTATCCCTTTCGTGATGGATGCGCACCCAGTACTCTACATGTTAAACGCTGGTGGCTGGTGAGTTTTGAGTCCTCTCCCCAAGAGCAACATGACCCCGTAACGGTGGCCTGCTCTTTGATCGTATCTCAAATTCCACGCATAACTCCATGAAACCCACCTTCTCCGACTCAGTTATTCAACCCCTACCATTCAAATTCCCTGACTTCTATTGTGTAAATCAGCCTCCACTCTTGTCACCCTTCCCGATCCAAAAATCCTCCCCGACATGGATTTGAATCTCGATGAGTGGGATTTCCTGTCTGATGATGGCTTCCTTGATTTCGGTGAAGACGGTCAGAAGAAGGTTTTCTTGGGAAAACATTATTCCGACTCGATCAGCGTGTTCGACGCGGATCACTTCATTTGCCCTTCGCCGAGATCCGTAAAGAGCATCGAGCCACCAAGGAATTCAAGGCTGCCAAATCAACTTGTTCCTGTTCCAATCCCTATCCGATTGGATCCTGGACCTCCAAATGATGAGGCAGCGAAGGAAATCATCACTAAGAATCCTATTGACATCCCGTCAGCTTCGATTCAGAAAAACAGAGGCTCCCAGATTGGAGGCGTGGAAGCTGATCAGGACTCAGTCTCGCAGGTTTTCTTCAAAATGAAGGAAAACGAATTTGTCGACATGAAAATGGACTCACCAAAGTCCGGTAGCCGAGGCATGTTGCCTCCAATTGATACCATGAAATTCGATGAAAACGGAGAACCCATGGAAATCATGACCTCTCCCCGACTCAAAATTGAGAAGGAAATACTTACCCACAATGATCAGGACTCCACTTGGGAACACAACAAAGATGGGTTCAATTTATGGAAGTGGAGCTTCACAGGGATTGGAGCTATATGTTCCTTTGGCGTTGCTGCTGCCACTGTCTGCATCTTGCTCTTCGGTAGCCACCAAAAGAACAAACTCCACCACAACCACAAGATTCGTTTCCAGATCTATGCCGATGACAAGGTCCCTAAAAATTTTCAACACTCTTACTAGTTTCGCTTTCTCTTTGGTTTTTTTAGACCAGAATTGTGTGTATAATATTGATTGAGTTGAATTTGATCCGAACCCTTGAATGATGGACTGATGCTTTGGTGTGACTGCAGAGGATTAAGCAATTAATGCAGCAGGCGAACAAGATGAACGAGGCAATTTCTGCAGCAACAGGTGTTCCTCTGAGCAGAGCTCACATAACGTGTGGTGGCTATCACGATGGTCTGTGAAGCCTTAATCAAGAGACTTAAAGATATGAAATCCTACGTCCTGGTATTACTATTATAGTTATGTACGTAATATTACATGAGATGTAGTCCTTATACCCTATTATTTGCAGTCCTTCCTGTAGATGTGTGTGTTGTAAAGGGATCATAATTTAGCTTGTTATCCAGTCTAGATCCTGTATGTCATTATGATTGAAATCATTTATAAGCACATTTCATATAAGTCAGGATAAAACTCCGCTCACGTACTTATATACACTTACCTTGTATTCTGTGATTCACGATTAAAAAGTTATTTATAAACTATTCTAAACAGACTAATCTTCTATTAATTGCTATGTGGCTATTTGACATTTGAAGGTGCCAGCTTGCAGAGTAATGGCAGAACAAGAAACCAGTTTCAAAAACAGTGGGAGTTAAATTAATGACATTGAAAAATCTTGCGTGGTGTATACTTTGATTAACAAGAAATAATGCTTTGTGGACTTTTTGGTTCGGTTTTTCAAATATTATTAAACGGGTACCCTGCATGTTTCACCAAAGCTACACGCGTTCCCTTCTTGATCCCCAGTGAAGTCCTGGGTTTTAAGCTATCCCACCATGTGTATTTCAATTCATTTGTAATGAGAAGAGTGCCAAGTAGTTGAGTGCAAGTCATGAGAAACTATTATATTATTTGCAAACGTGTTTTCCCTCTTGAAGTTCCGGATAGCGATGAAGTACAGTAAGACAAATAGGTTGATGTGAAATAGTTTCTTCTTGCTTCTACTTACGTCTCTTGGGATGAATGAATCCAAAGTGCCAAGCGATGAGATACCTTCCCCATAGCTCTCAAGATATTTATGATACCGAGCAGTGACAAAGGTGTGAGAAGGAACGAAAACGATTGATTGATCGTTGAACAACCCAATTAATGGGATTAAAGCACAGTGAGAAGGAGGGGTTCCGTCATTCTGAGGGAGGAGCACAAATGACACACGGTACTGTTCATGTTTACATCGTCAAAATTGATAACGTGGAGAGCACTAGAATCGCAGAAAAGGAGGGCGATGTCAAGGACCATGTGGGAATACTATGTCCTTTAGAAGCAAGTCACTGGAATCTAGTGTTTGCCCATTTGGAGTTTTGTGACGTGGGTGGGGTATCAACTATTCAAGATTCAACGAAAGGCTGGGACCCCATAGAATCTTATCAGTTATACGGTGCATTCCCCCCTTCCGAGAAGTCAATAATTTTGCTGCTTCCAGTTCTTGACTTGTGGTATTGTTTCTCTTTCTGTCCGCGTCTGTTTTTATACTATGGAGTGTGAAGATTATGGACTAATCCGTACTAGCAAAATTAGGATCCAGCGGAATGCTTATTACGCAAATCGACAAATAATAGCGTGCTACATCTAAGAGAAGGATCTTACTGATTTGCATAATAGTTGCATCTGGTCATCAGATACTAAATTGACATTGTTTTGAATAACTCTCAGACCTTACATGAAATTGCAATATATTTATGTTTTGTCTGTAGGAGTGAATCCTTTTATGTTATCGTTTGTAATGATTTTTGCAGTTAACTTTCTTTCTTTGTTTTTTCCTTCTTAAAATAAAATGCAATTCATTCAGGTAAAACTGTACAGTGTAAAAGGCCTGGTGGGTCAACAAATATCGAGGAACAAGAAAATACAAGGTCCTTGTTTATGCGAATTCCTGTCACAATAATGAACTAAAGCACTAAATTGTGTTTTTTAATAATTAATTTTATCTTAGAGAAAACAAACAAAAAAAAAACCCCAAGGCAGCTTGTTTGTGGGCCTGGATTGATGCTTCATACTTGAGTGCGAACAATTAAAGCCCAAGAATCGGGAAGGGCTTTTAAGAAATCTGCGACTTTGTTTTTCTGGGAAGGGGCTGTGGGCCTAGGAGAGTTGTTGAAATAGAGAGGTACCAGCAATAGAGATTGCATTTTATGGCCCAAAAGAAGGTTGTTAGACAAGTATTAGACCAAAGATTACCATTATTGGAATTAAAAGCTGGGAATTATGGATCAAATGTCGCAGAGATGAGGAGACGGAAGCCATAGCTGAGAATGCCGCAGTTACTACCCCCCCTCCCAAGTGCAACAAGACATGCAATTGATGAATTCTATGAATTCATCTCAACTGGATTTGCGCAAAAGGGCTTTACTTCCATTGGGGGAGCCGACGCTTTAGCTAAGTTAGGCCATACTTTAAATGACAGCATTGTTGGATCCATGAACTCCAAAACAATCTCGTGTAATATGTTTCGATTCATAGTCACCTTTTAATTCATAAAAAGAAAAATCAAAGAGTTTGATTTCTAGGGCACAAATTCTCATTATCCATACCTTTGTGGGGTATGTTTGCCAAAGAAGGATGTATCAGATTAAGAATTGGAAGGTGGAGGGGAATGGTAAGGAGTGTCCGAAGCAAACAGGAGAAAAGAGCAACAAATGGAGATATTGGCTCTTTGAACGAATGGAAGTAAAAGCTTCGGTTAATATGATTGAATATAAGCCTCTTTTGAACTGAAAGCCTATTCTCAGCTTAAGCTCTCAGCTTCTGTAGAGGCTATGGTTGGAATCGAATGCCTAACCTCTTCCATTAACTCTGTATTCTGAAGCAGAACATTGCATTCGCAGTTTCGCCCCATCGATCTCCGCCGCCTCCCTAACCTAGCTCTCCCCCAACGCTTACCCCGACCCGTATCCTCTTAAGCTCTATTTATATTGGTCATCTACCTGGAATCACCATACTGCCCTTTGAGCGGCTCGTCAGACCCCATAATTTCTTTTTTTTTGTTTTTTTTTATGAGTAGACCCCAGAATTCAGATCGGCTGCCCTCCCCTTTTGTTATTTACTTGATTCCAAGTGAAATGTTAAAGTAGTAATATATATATAAATAAAAATAAAATGTACACCTAAAAGAAAATAAAACGCAATTTTCCCGTGCTTTTGAATATTATATATTTTTTAAAAACGTAGTGTTGATCATTTATAAGTTATATGATTTATAGAGTTTTGATGTTTAAATTAAATAATATGTGTGCACAGAAATCAAGATGATGATAATTTTCATAACTTTATAAATGAATAATTATAGAATACCATAGAAAGTAGTCGCACTCGATTTATAAACTTAAATTTGGACTTCTTTGACGGAATGACTTTTTCCCACAGCAGTTGAGCATCAGAGCTGCTTAAAATATCTTAACTGAATTTCATTTTAAATTGATGCAAAATAAGGAAAAATTAAATAGACCACACAAGATCTCAAACACTGTTTACATAAAACTTAATCGCAATAAGAATTACTGCCTCCAAGCTACATGTGATTTTTTATAGCTTTGAAAAACTATAAATGATTCGAATAGCTATATGAGCATGGGCGCTTGAGAAACAGTGGAGGACTTTAAACCCCCAGTGTTTCAAATGTCCAGGGAGGAGGAGGGGGCAAAAGAGCACAAGGAAGAGAAAGATAGCAACAAAAACACCAACAATAAAATAACAAATGATTATGATTCGGAAATAGTACAAAACAAGGAATATAAGGAAGAAGAGGAGAATAAATGCAGAATAATAATGTACAGAAAAAGCGAAGGGTTAGATCAGAGGAGGAAGGCGAATGCGAGGGCAATGAGGGAAGCAAAAGCGGAAGCCAGGAAGAGGGTGGGTGGCATCCGATGTGGACTTGGAGCTGGTCTTCCCCGCCGATGCGCCGCCATTATCATCACCATCACCATCAACACTACTTCATCTTCATTCCCTCCATTTCTCTCTCTTTCTTCTCTTAGCTTCACAATCTTCCTCCACAAGCTTCACAACAATACGCAGAGGCTGAGGGATGAATGAAGACCTTGTTTGGCGAGCAGCTTATTATATGCTCGTCCAGTTCACGGGCAGTCCCCCCCTGCCCGTTCGGTGACACTGAACAGGGTGTCTTCTACCTGCCTTCCAGCTGTTCCCAAACCCCTCTTTCTTCCCCCTCTTTCGAGTTTTTTGTGCGTAAAGACCCATTTCTGCATTTTATGTTATGCTTTTTAAAAAAATTATATGGGACTTCAGAATAATTTTTCCTCCCCCAAAAAAAAAAAAAATTTGTGCCGCATGAAAATGACTATATATCATTATATCTACACCCACCCAAAAGCACCCCCCATAAAAAATAGCGTATATTTCGCTGTGTAACGAGATGTTTAGCCTTAACATATACGAAGCTAACTGTCAGGCTGTTAATGAAGCCTGTCTTCTGGTAAAAATAAAAAAAAAACGAGCTTGTCTCCTAGTATCACAGTATTAACGTCTTTTGCAGATTTTATGCCCTAGAATCGTATTGCCTTGTGCTTCTCATGGTTGTCGTATATGGCTGTGCATTTCATAATTCATTTCCCCGACTAATTAACTGATTTCATTGAGCTTATCCTTTTTGTGCTGGCCACGTGGTTGTGATTATTGTGCATAATAATGTCTTTAATATAAAAACTGATTTAGCTTTTATAGGTTTCTAATATAATACTTTAACTCACTTTATCTCATAATTTATTTATCTTTTTCTCAAATATTTTATTGTACAGTTTTTATGTGTTAAAATATTTTATCAAATAGTAGTTCTAGTTAATAGATATAATTAATAATGATATTTTAGAAAAAACTACTTATTTATTACAGATAATAAATTTAATCAGTTTTTTTAATTTATTTAAATTAGTAAATAATTTTTTATCTATAAAGAATCGAAGTGGCATTACCTAACGAGCCTCTGGGCTTAGGTTGGCAACCCAAAAATAAAAGCAAAAAGAAACCACCGAGTTTAAACTTTAGAGTTGAACTCAATAATTGACGAAGGGGGAAGGGTTGGTGGGAGAACAGCGTTGCGTCACATCCTGCTTCTAAGCTTTTAAAAGCCTCTGGAAGACCGTTCCAATTCAAACTGATTTGTATGAAGGCCGTGTTCTAACGGTCATAATATCTCCAGTTATTAATATAAAAATTAATTAATTAATTTAAATATATTAAAAAAATAAATTAGTTATTTATAATAAATATTTTTTTTAAATATTATTATTAATCAAGTATATTAATTAAAATTATTATTTATTAGAAGACCTACCTTAAAAAAATTGTATAAAATATGATAAATAAAATGAATTAAGATTTTATATTTAAATAAAAAATAAAAATCTTATATTAAAAATCATAGGTAATAATATTTAAGCTCCCACAAGCATCCAATGTTTGTTGGGTGCGACCGAATTAGTTCACAATATCTACCTTGTTTGCTGGGCAGGAATGTGGGGTTCCCATTTGG